CTGCCTCCTTCACCTCCAGTGCCCCCCACTAAGGGAGTCTCCCCAACACCAACACCTCCAGGGCACCTGTACTCCACAGCTGTGAGGGCTAATATCCCTGTTACAAATCGGTTTGGGGCTCTTGCGGACCTCTCTTTCCCTTTAGACTAGAGGATTCCCCACCTGTGGGGCAACATCAACTCAGGGTGCCCTCGGACCCGGCTTCCATTGCGGAAGTTATTGCACATATCCCCCCCTTGTCCACAATGCATGTCCTCCCGTCGAGGTGGTACAGTTCCCAAATCGACCCGTTGCTCAGAGCCCCACCCAGTTCAGATGGACATCATACCCGACCTGGAGCCTCCCGTCTCGCAGTCGACTCCCCCCCCAATTCTCTTCAACCCCAGCCTCGGCCTGTCTCCACTCCAGGACCCTTCATGTCTGAAGGTTCTGCTTTTTCACTCTCGCATGCCTGGGCTTTATTCCTTCATCCTATCCTCCTCCTGGTGGAGGAGGTGCTACATTCTTACCTCCAGGGCACCTCTTTTGTGACTGCATGTCTCTCGGTTCTCCCTCGCCTTATTGGGCTGCTTAGTTCACACACGTGAACCTTTCTCACCCTTCTGTTTTTCTTCTTTGGAACGCATGTTCTGTACTGGGAAAGTTTCCGGACCTTCAGAGGTATCTGGCTGAGGTACAGCCACTGGTGGTGGGTCTCTCTGAGACATGGTTACGCCCTCGACATTCTCTTTGGATGCCTGGTTTCATTGTTTACCGCAGGGAGCGGAGGTGGCCTAGCTCTTCTTGTACGCAACCATCTCCAGAGTACGACCCTCTCTCTCCAAGCCTATGAGAGTGGTGTTGGAAATTCTGGCTGTGAGAGTTGCCTTGGGCACTCAGTGGTGCAACATACTCCTGATCTATAATCCGGACAGGTCAGTTACGCAAAGTGAATTTACCTATTACTTTGGACAACTCCGTGGTTCTACGCTTGTGATAGGAGACTTTAACGCAAGGCACCAGTTCTGGGAGCCATTCATTTCTTTGGGATCGGTGAATCCCACAGGTAGGGCCCTGTTCCAAACCCTCCTCGCATCTCACCTTTTGTTGCTCACACCACCAGGTTTGGAGACTAGAGTGGATCCTTATACCGGGCGAGTTTGTACCTTAGACTTCGTTCTTGGGTGTGGATATTTTACTACAGCTACTGTTACTGTAGGACCCTTCATGGGGAGTGACCATCTTCCAGTTCTTACTTCTACAAATGAAGCCTTAGCAGCACCAGTGACGGCAGTTTGTTCACGGTGGAAAATCACCCAGGCTGGTTGGACAAACTATAATTGGGCCCTTACTGATTACAGCCTGCCTCAGGACTCCTTGCTGGACGAGGCTGTCGCGTCTCTTCAAGGGGCCATGCTTGATGCGGGCTCGCGTTCACTCTGTCTCTCTGGGAGCTTCTCCCGTTCACGCCCCCGGGTTCTATGGTGGAATGATGAGTGCCTCCGAGCAGTGAAGGCACGTCGGACAGCGTGGGCACGGTAGTGGCACCAATCCTCTCAGACTCAGCAGTTGGCTTACCGAAGGGCAGACGCTCTTTGTCGGCGAACCCTCCTCCAAGTGAAACGTGCATCCTGGGCTTTATTCTGTTCTTCTCTTTCTTTTCGCACCTCTGCCAGTCAGGCATGGGTTTTTTTCCACTTCATGTTGGGATCACGTTCTGTAAGTACTTTTTCCCTGCTGGGGGAAAGGAGCGACTCCACTCTTACCCCAGGACAAGGTTGAGACATTTGCAAATTTCTTCGGTCCTATGTTTTCTCCTCCTTCTCCTCTACCCTCTAAGGTGATCAAATGGGGTCCTTTGCCACCTGCCGTACCCGAGGTTCACTGCCAGGTGCTGGCATTTCCCTTTAGCTCCCATGAACTGCAGCTGGCACTTTCCCAACTTTCTTCCCGCTCTTCTCCAGGGGAGGACAACTTGCCCTATTCATTTATACTACATCTACCTCCCTCCTGTACAGAAGCTATGCTGGAGGTTTTCAATAACAGCTGGTATACAGGTGTCTTCCCTGATATGTGGAAACACTCTTCTGATTCCGATTCTAAAGCCGGGCAAGGATGATACCCAACCAAGCTCTTACCGACCCATTGCTCTACTGCCCTGCTTGGGTAAAGTGCTGGAACGACTGGTGGCTGCTCGTCTCTCTTGGTGGACTGAGGAACATGGCCTCCTGCCTGATAACCAGAGTGGCTTCCGAGAAGGTCGATCCGCCCTCGACCCTTTGCTTCAATTTACACAGCTTGTGCACACTTCATTTGAATGCCGGGAGTTCCTTTTGGCTGCATTTTTGGACCTATGCAGAGCATTTGACTCTGCATCAGCCCCGCATGGGGCTGACAGGAGCTCCCCTCTGTTGGATGCGCAACTTTTTGCAAGGGAGGGCCTTCCGTGTAGCAGTAGGTGGCGCTTTGTCCTCACCCTGTCCTGTATACCGGGGAGTGCCCCAGGGATCTGTTCTTAGCCCACTCCTTTTCTCTGTCTTATTGTCGGATCTCCCTTCCATCTATGGAGTGCATACCCTGGTATATGCGGATGATGTGGTCCTTATGTGCAGTCCCCTTGCTTTACTGACAGCACAGGAAACACTTCAGGGTGCCCTGCAATGCATAACATCATGGGCCA